CTAAGAAAACCCCTCGGATGGAACCCATCAGAATGACAACCATTGAAACTGAAAGACCTCACCTCATGGAATTGGATGCTCTTTGCGAGTACGAAGAAGACCTTAGGGACACAGCGGAAGATCTGTGGAAACGTAACGTCTCCAAGGCCCTAATCAGACAGAGGACTAAGAAGGAAATGATGGAGAGGATAGAAGAAAAAAGTGAGTTAACTCCAACTAGGTTGAGTGTTCATTTGAAATGTATCAGGATAGAGGCATTTGTCCTCACTAGAACACTAACCGTCCTCCGAACTCAACACATTACTCGGTAGGGATCTAGCAGGCGGCCTACCAATGGCAAAAATCCCCCGAAGCCAAAGTGTCATAGGGTATTCATGGCTAAAGGGTTGGTACGCAATTAATGCAGGCTTAATGCATGACATGTGTGCAATATGAATGACAGTAAGGCCGCTTGTATTTGTTTTAGTGGACTAAAAACATAGGTGAAAAAGGTTGCGGAAAAGGCGACAGTGGCTGTGAAGAAAACTGACAATCCCGCTCCCTCTTCCGGTGGTTGCGTTACAGGGCCGTCTTCGTCTGCAAATCCCGACTTCAGTTTGACCTTGTCCAGTCCTTTACTTACGTAATGGCGCAGGACTTTATAGACCGCATGGAGGTCCAGATGCCTGTTGACAGAATTGGCGTCTGAATACCATGCCTCAAGCGTCAATCTTTCAGCTTTTGAGGCTCCTCGGCCTACGATGGTCGTTCCTTGAATATCGAAGTCGCGGCCGGTCTCTCTGATATGTGTCGCAAGCTGTGAGTTAGGGTCTAGTCTCCGGGCCGCCATTTTGTGTTCTTGTAGGCGGGTCTGCAATTTGCGTCCCGTTTCTCCAATGTTATTACAGTCTCCATCGTTGCAACTAATTTTCTAGACAACTGCGGAGGTTTCAGTGGGGGCAGTCTGCCTTTAAGTTGCATCACTCGACGGCGTATTGTCGCCTGCAGTCGACGGGCTATGCCCACTCCAGCGGGTTGTAATAGTTGGAAGAATGATTCGGAGACTCCTTTTATGTAGGGAATGGTCCTCCAGACTTCGGGTTGCGGATTCGCTGCCCGTCGTCTGTCCACTCGACTCTTGCTCTGGTTGATAAAAGAATTCAGGTACCCATTAGCTCGAAAGAGGTCACGTAGGTATTGTTGTTCCACTCCTTTGTCAGTTTTCGTGCTGCAATGTGTTTCAACCCTTTGGGAAAGAGTACGAGCACAACTACGTTTGTTAGACAGAGGGTGATTGCTATTGAAGTGGAGTATTTGTTTCGTGCTGGTGGCTTTTCCGAATACTGCGGCTTGCAGTAGTCCAGTGGAACAACGGCGCACCATAGCCCAAGAGAACTATTAGAATAACTCCCAGTGGTTAACATAATCAAAGAAGTGTTTGAATAGGCGGAAATTCGGCCTACTGCGAACTTGCAAGAAGTTTAATATTATTATTAATACATTCCCTTCGGCGGTCCTACTATAAATCAGCAGTTGCTGCATTGAAGGTCCCGCCTCACAGTGCTTGGAAAAGGCCACACGATAATTTGGTAGGTTGGGGTTAGTAAATACGACGTATCGTTAGTTCCGCCGTTGATTCTGACCAATTCCCCCCTATGCTCTGCAGTGTGGTAGTGCAGGAACGGTGACTTAGGCGTACACTAGTTTTAAGTCTAGGTAGGTCTGTCTTGAAGCTAGGCCAAGGTGGCTGAGTGAGAGGAGAGTGCGATAGATCCATCGCAAGTCTTCTATCAGTTTAAACCAGGCTGCATGCAAGTCGCTGTCCCTACGACTACCTTGTTGTGGAGCAGACGGTAAACATCTTCTGGCTTGAGGTTTATTTTGTCTTCGCCTCTCTTCCTTTCCTAGTTATGGCAAGAAAAAAAGAGCAGGAACGACTCATCGCCTATGTGCGCAACCGCAGAACGACCAGCTATGGTCTAATTTCCGACGGACGTTCCGACGATGTGAGCATGGGTACCTTGACCCACGAAGAGACAAAGGTTGTTCTGGCCAGAATGCGCAGCCTCTTCAAGGACGACCACCAAGTAGCCCTGCAAATTAGCCAGGCGCTTGATGGCAATCCGGCCGTTTGTACAAAAATGAAAGTGTATGTGGGACAGGGGATCGACTATCAGCGTTTTCTAGCGTCTGTGTTGACCCCTGACTGGCTCTTCCTCTATCTCTCGATGCACTTCGGCTCTGAACAAGAGGTAATGGCTCTTTTGGAGGTTTATCGGACTGCCGATCCCGAATCTGCTGAAGCCAAAGATGCCATTGCCAGGTTAAAGAAAGCAACGAAGGACATAGAAATAGTCAAGAACTTCCTGGATCTTTTTACGCCACTTGTTCAGACGCTTGCGGAGGCTCTTTCCCTCGTGTTTCCAAGCCTGGAAGAAGCGAAGAATTTCGTGAGACGAGCCCTAGGTGGTGACACCATGGCCATCCAAAAGATCTTGAATGTGACAGGAGTGGACGCAGAGGACCTGGAGGCTGTTTTGGATACTGTCAAAAGATGTAGAGATTATCAGTGTGCCGTTCTATGCGCTGGACTACAGAAACACATAGCGGAACGTTTGGTGAGTGTCAGTCTTTTTCAAAATAAGAAGTAAATTACTATCATTGCATGAATTTTAAAGGATATTTGTGATCTTAGCTTCGGTAACAGTCTAGTATATGGATATGCAAGAAAACCAAACGTCTAGAATTCTGTAATACAGAACCCTGTGGTAAAATAGGTTATACGAGTGAGGTATTACGGGAATGAGAAAGTAAAATAAAATAAATATTTCAAGCAAAAACAGGAAATAGTAGACAAAATATTATAGCGTGCAATACTTGAAAAATTAGTTTAAATAAAAAATTAGGTAAATTTAATTAATTGTATTAGAT